ATCCGTATTGTCGGCAGTCATGGACTTTACCACAAATGTGACACCAATTGTGAGCCAACTCTCGCCCGATATTTTACTCTTTTGAACTTCGACTGCATGTTTGACCAAAAGCTTATTCAATAGATCTTTACGTTATATTCAAATTTTAATTCAATATTTCATAAATCCGTTATATTTTCTAAATGAATAAAAATATTATTAAATTTTTATTAACGAATGAATGGACGACTTTTATTAAATAAAATATATATTTTTAAAATGATGTCTTTGTCTAATATTTCTAAATTTTGTCTAATAATTAATTTTTAACAATTTTTGGAAGTTTTATTCAATTATTTCTATTGTAAAGTTATGTTAATCTTAAAAGTTATTTCTGTGTGTAATGTTGACATCAATTTTGATTAACCAATGATATTACTGTTAAACATTTTGTTCGTTTGACTATTACTTGAAATATATTTGTTTCTCCGAAAAACATATAAAAGTTTAATTCTGTAACTTATTATATAAATTATATTATTTTCTAGTTTTGATAAATTGTTAAATAAATAGCTTAATGAATTACAACATAGAGTATATGAAAACAGGAATATTCTATGCATTTTGTTTGTAATTCTGATGTCTCGATGATTTCACTGCTTAGCGACTCATCAGTTGTCACTTGTTTTGTTTACTTAAATCCTTAACTATCCTTTACTTAACTAAAAGCTACTTGTTCTTTTGGTAAAAATTATTTATTAACACTTATTGTAGGTATAACACACATTACCGTTAGCTGACCTTGAGGATCTTTGCCATAAATACTGATGAGCTTAATGAAGAGAAGGCAGAAGTTTTGTACCAACAGTTCATTGAGGTAATCATTGAAAACTACATGTTTTCTGATTGCAATTTGCAGTAAAAGATAACTAAAAAACATAAAATTATAGTTCAATGCAAAAGATGAGGCAAATGTGGATCGATTGCGAAGACTGTTCGACGTGTGTAAGTCTGTTATGCAAATCAAATCACTTCAGGCAGAGGTGGCGGTCGAAGAATTGGAGGAAACGACCAAAAATTATAATAAAACTGAAGTCGAAGTGTTGAGGAAAGAGTTGGAAATGTATAAATCGGATATAAAGGGAGACAATATTGGTTTAAAGTTAAGTCAAACAAATCAACAAATCATTGAACTTAAGAACACAATTGAGTCAAAAGAGAGCGAAAATATTAAATTAAAGCGAAAATCAAATGATTTGCAAAATAGTTTAGATCTCAGAGATAAAGAAGTGGTTTCTTTGCGCTCTGAAGTCGATTCAATGAGAGATGAAATGTATACTCAAAGACAATCTGACGACCATTTAATAGAAAGAGAGGAACCGTTAGAAAAGTTGAGGGAAAAGAATAAACAAATTCAGACACTTTTGGATGAACTGAGAGAAGTGGAGACAATAAACTTGGAGTTTTCAAATCAGGTCAAGAAATTAAAGTTAGAGCTCAACAGTGCGACCAATGAATTGCAAATTAGTTGCAATCAAATGGAAATGCTTTCCAAACAAATGAATGAATCAAAACAATTAAATGAAGATTTTGTTCGCGAAAAGCATTTCCTAACCGAAGAAATCGATAAATTAAAAGAAAGTCTCAGTAGTTATGAGAGCGGAGACGAAAACATAATCGATAAATACACCGATAATATCAAACAATTGAGACAATTAATGGCAACGAAAGACGAGGAGATTATTAATTTAAAATCTTTGAGTTTAATTCCTGACGAAAATACAAAAGAAAAACAAAAGAAAATGTTTAAAGAATTGGAAGAAAAGGACAAACAATTAGATTTACTTAAATCACAACTAAATGAAGCGGTGGTTGATATGGAAAATCAAACAGAGATTATCCAACGACTGTCCGAACAAAATAAAAAAGATCAAGAGTTTGTGAAATTAAACCAAAAAGTCTGCAGAGAATGGTTAGTTAACTTTCGTGAGCTTCTTCTTCACGATTGTTTTCTACTTCTTAATAATCGTGAATCTTTTGCTCGCTTATCAATACTTTCTCCTCTCATACCTGACTTCCTACGAGAGTTCGAAGTGAACGATTTGACTAAACATTTAAATAACAGAGACCACAGATTAGAGGAAATGATTGAACAATTGAATCAATTGAAGCTTGAATTGAATGAAGCGGAGGACACGATAGATGTTTTAAAAGTAGATAACACTGCAGACAATAAAGAAGGCAATCAAATCGATGGCAACACACAATTGAGAACCAATAAAAAGGAAAAAGTGAACAAAAAAGATAAAATCAAAATCTTAGAACTCGAACAACAAGTGCTTCGGTTGGAAGACCAGAAGATTGCATTGACTGAAAGATTGAGATCTAATATAAATAAAACAGTTAGCAGTAAACGCGAGGAATACAAAGAAATCAATTCCTTGAAAGAAAAGTTAAAATCTTCCGAAACGGAAAATCTTGAGCTCCAGTTGGGAATGAAAGAGATTTTAAATGGCATTCGTGAGACTGATTCTCAAAGTGATGTTATCATAGAGTGTCCGAGTCTTGAGAGAGTTTGCAGATTATTGGAAAGTCGGTCAATCAGTTCGGATCTGACAAACATTATTGCTCTGAAAGCGGAACTATTCGTGAGACTGATTCTCAAAGTGATGTTATCATAGAGTGTCCGAGTCTTGAGAGAGTTTGCAGATTATTGGAAAGTCGGTCAATCAGTTCGGATCTGACAAACATTATTGCTCTGAAAGCGGAACTCGATTTAGTTCGCGGACACAACGAACAGATCCGAACTGATATGAGACAACTTAGAAATGATTATTTAAGAGTGATTTCGCAATACACACAACACCTGCTCGACACTGACATCGCAACTGGAGATGAGATTCCAGAATATTCAATAGATATGAATCAAAATCAAATCAATAATTTACAAACAACTCATGAATTAGTGAAAGAACGAGTTCCGCAACATATAGTACTCAACACTAGTGAAGATAATGTGGCAAAAGACGTGCCAATTGTCACTCAAAAACCTTTATTGAATAAAGAAACTCAAACTCTGGAAATTAAAGATACCAATGAAGTGGCAGTAATTAAATCAAAAATTACATTATTCAACGATGTCTTTACACAAACGGACAATAATTTCGAGGTTAAAACTGAACGAATTGATAATGTTTTGGATAATAAACTAACAAATAATTTGTGCGAAAATTGCAATAAAGTTATGAAAATAGTTTACTTTCTTAAAAATTGTGTCGAAAAATTAGAAGAAAATATCAAATCGAGTGAAATTAAATTTACACAACGTTTACAGCTTTTACACAATGAAAATATCGTAAGTGTTTTAGCCATTGAAACAAATTTCTATTAAAAGAATAATTGAATTCATTTTGATTGATAACTTCTAACAAAGTTATTATAACTTTTCGTAAGAAATGAAAGTGTGATTTAATGAAAATTATATTATGAATAGCATGTGATATCAATCTATAAATGTTTTAAATTTATTTGTTGTGTTGTTTCAGAATTTAACGGAAAGTATGAATAAAAGATTAAATGAAAAAGACCTTCAATTGATTGAAAAAGAGGAACAAATTAATTATTTGCAAAACAGGATAACAAACAATCAATTGGTGCCATCGATGGCAGACTCGACACGAGAGGAGTCATCTGTGAGCGAAGAACACACTCTCGTGTCTTCAAATTATGCCAATAAACCACAGCAACAGTTGTCTTCCAGTTGTAGAAATGTGTTGCAGAGTGTCATCAACTGTTTGCAAGTCTGTCATAATTCAATGCAAACACTTTTAGCATTAATTTTTATTCAATAAATTGTTTGCTTTGATTGCAGGCAAGACTTGAACACAAAGACGAATCGATTCGTCAGTACAGGAATATGTTGTCCGAAACGAAACAAAACTTCGAGAATGAAATGATTCGTCTGATTGAAGCCAACAGAGAAAATGATGAAAAGAATTCAATTAATTTCACACAAATGATAGACAACGAAGAATTGCAGAGCGCTCTCAAGAGTTGCGTCAATGAACTCGAATCGTACAAACATTTATTATTTTAGCAGAATATTCTTTAGTTGATGAAAAGAATTCAATTAATTTCACACAAATGATAGACAACGAAGAATTGCAGAGCGCTCTCAAGAGTTGCGTCAATGAACTCGAATCGTACGAACATTTATTATTTTAGCAGAATATTCTTTAGAGAAAGTGGATTTCAAGTTACAAATGTCTAAAAGTCTATCAAATCATAATCAAGGATTGCCAAAAGTAGGCTTTCCTTATTACCCATAGACTTTAACATTACAAAGTGCTTATTGTCGACTCATATGGCAAATAGTGATCACTGATCATAATCCATTATCCATAAAATCTGGTCAGCATTTAAAAATGATGTTTCACTTTACAAACCTTAGGTTAATTGACAAAATACCAATCAAATTGTGATACACTGTACGCCACTTTGACTAAAGAATATTCTGCTAAAATAATAAATGTTTGTACGATTCGAGTTCATTGACGCAACTCTTGAGAGCGCTCTGCAATTCTTCGTTGTCTATCATTTGTGTGAAATTAATTGAATTCTTTTCATCATAATCCATTATCCATAAAATCTGGTCAGCATTTAAAAATGATGTTTCACTTTACAAACCTTAGGTTAATTGACAAAATACCAATCAAATTGTGATACACTGTACGCCACTTTGACTAAAGAATATTCTCTGCTTATAAAAAATGCTAAATTTTAAAATATTTATTTATCATTTATTTGCAAAATTAGGTGCAAAACAGAATTGAATGCAAAAATACATCAATTGGAAGAAGAATTGGAACAAAAGAGTGCAAAACTAATGGCATTTCAAAGCGAGAACGAAGAGCTGAAGAATAAACGAATGAATCCAAACACTCAACTCAAACAAACTATTGAAGAATTGCGAGAAGAGTGTCAGCAAAAAGATGGTCTCATAAATACACTAAAGAAAAACATTAAAGACGACAGAGCTATGAGAGCCGCTTCTGCCGTCAGACGTCCTAAAGACGAGTCAATCAAAAGAGATAAGAAAGTGGACAACGAATTGTTCCAAGAAATTGCAGATTTGAGGGCTTTGACAGAAACACAGAAACAAACGATTAAACACTTGGAAGTTGTGAAATGGGATTACGAAAAGAATTTAAAGGAACTGAAAGACCAGTTGAAACAAAAAGCAAAGGAAAAGGAGAATGAAGTGACGGTTTTGAGAGAAAAAGTCGATAAAATCAAAGTTAGACTCAATAAAAATGAAAGCGAAAAACATTTGTTGCAAAACAAAGTGACCCAAAGGGAGAAGACACAGAAGAATAGACAACACAAATGGACACAAACTTTGGGAGCAAACAGTGAACAAGAATTACATAAATTGAAACAAGTAATGAAAACGGTTTGATAAGTCTTTAAATTGCATTTTATTTTATTTATCTTTTAAATAACTTTATTTTTACAAAATATATATTTAGTTTAAAAATGAATTAAAGGAAAAAGAAAATGAGACAAACATTTTGAAAAATGAATTAGAAATGAATCGACAAAAAGTGTGTGAACTCAAGACATTGCTGGAGGAAAGTGTGAAACGGGAGAAGTTGTCGACAATCCATGAGAATAGCACTGAATGCGATCAACAATACGACCAAATATTACAAGAAAACGCTAGAATCAAAGTAGAGCTACGAATGGCTGAGTTTGAACTAAATAGACGCTCACAGTCTTAAACCATTGTCTCACTTCATAATTGAATTAAAACTCATTTATATCCTCATAAACTTATTTAATATTAAATACTATTAAAACGGAAAAATTGGTTTCACTGTTATATAAGATAAAATGAAATTAATGTCATTCTTGAGCGCCGGTATATGTTTGGCCATTGAATGAACTATAGATTGACTTATAATAACGCTTATAACAAAAAAAGCAAATGTGTTGGAAAATACATTATACAATGCAAATGATAGGACTGTTTGGGGGTTTAGGCCTCTGCGAGCGCTCTCTTGTTTTTGTTGCTAAACATCTCTTCAATGAAGTAATCCATCATATTTTCGGGCGCTTCTAACCCGAAGTGATAGTTTCGGAGATGGTCTTTGAAAGTGCGGTCACAATCGCTGCCATAACCGCACTGTTGACAGGCGTACACCTTCTGGCCCTCGTGTTTCTTACTCTTCTGGATATGGCGTTTGATGTCTACAATAGTATTGCTTACATACGGACAATACGGACACTTGTACTGCAATCAGACATTGAGAACATAAGCACATATAATGGGATGCAATGAGTATTAGGGCTCACTTTGGTGTTGGTGTGGGCTTTGACGTGGAAATCAAGCTTTTCCTGAGAGTTGGTGACAAAACCACAGTCAGGGAAAGTGCATTTGAACTCAACATTCTGTGGGGTCATAGCAGGCCGTCGGCCGCGCATCGGTGTGTAAGGCGTGCCAATCATATCTCCTGATCCCTCAGTCTTAATGCCGCCCGTAATGGATGCGACCGCAGACGCCGTTTCAGAAGTCATGGCTCCGTTACTCGAAGACACGACAACAATGGCCGAGCGGTTCGTATTAGGAGTTATTGTCGTCACTTTCACCTTCTTGTTGGCCGAAGCGATCAATTCGTCCGCGTGTTTATCTCTCTGGTGTTCAGACAAATAGTCCGAATGAGTGAAACTGTATTCACAATTTGGACACTTTTGCGGCTTTTCGTTTGTATGGGTTTCGCTAAATAACCGATCAAATGGTTTATTACAAATTTGCCATCAAATCGGGACAACACTTACTATATATGGCGATAGACCTCATGGCGCGTGAGTCGGGGCGCGTCATCGCAAGCGGGACACGAGTAGGTGTTCTTTGAATTGGTGTTTCTTGTGGTGAAACAAGTGGTCGACAATACGAACTGCTTTTGAGCGATTCCGTGGTTCATCTTATGTAAGATAATCGATACCTCCGATCGGGTGTCGAACGGACACTCATCGCACGTATGGGTCGGCTCCGAGATCTTAGTGATTGTCCGCTTGCGAGCGGATCCGTGTTCGGTGGCGTCGCCTTTCGTCAGCTCCTGTTTCAATCTCTTCAGTTGGTTCTCGTGCTGTCCTTTCGACTGATTGTTCAGATTGTGTTGAGTGCGGAGTTTGGCCTCGAGTTCTGCGTTCTTCTCGCGAAAAGTGTGTAATTCCTGTTCCAACTGAAGCCTCTGTTGCTGTTCGTCGTGTAGTTGTTGTTGCAGTTGTTGGACAACAGTGTCTAAGTCAGTGGTCTGACCATCAAATGCATTGGTCGGCTGCACCTGAATGTAGATCGTCTCGGAGGACGTCTGTTGTGACCCATGGCTCGGATGGCCTTCCATTCGCCGCTATATCGCAAAGACATCCACTCATGAGTTGATGGCATCATAATTGGTGGTAATCGTGTCAATACATACCTTAAACTTGTCTAAAACACTCGGAGATGCGGTGAATGTCATCAAAGATGTCTCAACGCTTCCGATCAATACGTTGTCAACACTTCAGTCAACACAACAAATGCCACCAAAAAATGGCCGAAATATCCATTCATTTCAATGCCTCACACTTTGGCACTAATATTCAATTTCACCACAAATTACGCCAATATTATGGCCGCTATTAAAGCGCCCCTCAAATGCACAGTCAATGCAATGTATGTTTCATATAATGGACGTTAATTATGAACATAATATTCATATGATATTAACCAATCATTTCAAGCATATATAATAAGCGCAAAATTTTAAACCATTGATTAAATGACTTAAAATTTTTAATTATGAAAATCTCACATATAATTAGTTTTAATGTTTTGTCCATTCATTTCAATGCATTCTCAATACACTCCATATCAAAGTGTAAACATTTTGGTCACACAAACACTTTAGATAAACATTTATTTTTAATTTCACGTCAAATATACGACAATTAAAACATTAAAATGTTTTACAAACAAAATGTAATTTTATAATATTTTATGTCTTGTAATAAATGTATTGCATTTCAGACATAATATGTTTAATTTTGAGTTCAATTATCAATTTAAGGCCAATTATTTGAACAATATTTTTCAAAATATAAATAAATGAAATGTAATTACAGTTAATATTTAGTGTCATTAAAAGGATTATAGATTGAAGACTCCCGGCATATATGTATAGGACATGAATTCCGTCGCCTTCTTGGAACTACTCTTCATGGCGTCGATTACTTTACCGATCAGTTTCTTATCATTGCCGACGTGTTTATACCATTCAGTCTCAAGACATTGATTCAGATTTGTTTTAATATATTGGAGACACTTCTTAACCAATACTTGATTCCCGTATTTGTCCAACACTTCCAATACTTTGAACGCATTCTTCGGACTTAATTTCAGATAATATAAATTCTCGCAAATAGTCTTCAACTCTGAGACCATGTATTTGTCCGAAACGTAAAGCAAGTCTTCAGCAAAGTTTTCAATGTTCTCAGAGTCTCCGTTACATAAGAATTGGTAGAACTCCTCGAAGACATTGTAATCGATGTCATCGATCACTACATCACTCGTTGTCTTCTCAGACATAGAAGTGGTGAACATATTATAAAACACTTCCGAGTGATCGCTGAGTAGGGCTTTAGAGGCGAAGAACTCCTTCCCTTTGATAACGAGTCGACAGTCGTTGAGATCTTTGTTATTAAAACTGTTGCCAAAGAGTCGTCTCCTTTTGGGTCCATCGATGGTCTTATAAACAGTGATTCCGAAGACAAGAGTGAGTGAATCGTTGGGCAGATATTTATCCTTTTGATCCATTAGTAGCGATAGTTTGACTAAATCGAGACCCCAAGTGGTCTTCGCTTTGAATTCCTGTCTTTCAAGTGTTTGGACGCCAAACGGGTGGCCATCGATGTCCCGGACGTACACCTCATACGCGGCGCCGACCGTCTCATCTTTGCTGAGAAGTAGTTTCAGATAAACGCTAACATATTCCTCGTCGTAGTCGTTGTCCTCTAAGTCGACCTTTACTTTCCAGTCATCGGATCCAATGGAGACCTCTTCGCTTACCATCTCGTTGTCGTCTTCAGCATCTGATTGGCTGTCATTGTCTTCCTCTTCACTATCAGAACTGATGATATCTCTGTCTCTTTCAAAGTCATTGATAGTGAACACCACTCTTGTCTTGTATATCACTTCAGTTGATCTCATGGTTTGAGACTGTAATTGATATCCAAAAGTGTTTGTCAATTGATTTTGTGCCACAATTTGGCCCTTAATTAAGACAACTATTAAATGAATAGAAAATGTCTGAAGTATTGAATCAAATGTTTGATTGGATTTTGTGTTATAACTTATGACTTATAAGTTATGATTATTATTCTGAATATTAAATATTAAACTTAAAACTAAAGTCAACTCATATTACAAGTTATATTACAACTTAATATTCAAACTTTAAAACTTAATAAAAGTCACAAATATTACAATACTTTATGAATGAACCGAAAATATAATTTAAAATGAATTCATTTTTTATGCAATGTTTCAAAAAGTGATAACAATTGGCTCGGTTCCAGATACCCGTCTTTTCGATTTATTAAACTTGGATTTTTGAACATATTTTTTTTATTATCGGCACAAATGGCCACAAACAATCGTCTAGGTAGCCCTTAACCTAACCTTACCTAACTTACCCTAATATAACTAACTTAATTTAAAATAATATTTCATAAAATTATTTTTATAATGGTTTTCTATGGGAAGTTAAGGTCGCGATATTTCTGAAAGTATTCGAGATAGAAAATTTTGGATTTGATATTCGTGTTCAGCGTTGAATTCTACATCGAATCCATATATCACATTCATAAATTTCGTAATTTTGATGGGGGTGGGGGT